CCCCCCCCCCCCCTCACACACAGACATACCAGGCCAATTTCACAGTTCTATGTTCAGTGGTCACGCCTTAAATGAACAGAAATGAGGCAGGAGTTGGCTTTGTTATGATGCAAACCTTATTACCTTTCAAATGTAAATTATCCTGTTATTATGCTAACTTATTCCTAATCTCTATCATCTCAAGGCCAACCCAAACCTCACTTCCATGCAGAGGCTAGGATACATGTCACAGAACTGTAGAATGGTCTATTCAATTGTTGAACCATATTTTTATTATAGGGCTCCACTTAGAGACATGAGTATTCAGGAGTGGTTGGAAAGAAAGGAGTGTGACGAGGATGTAATTGCAGTGTTTGAAGCCATGTATTGTCGAACCATAGCTGCCACGCCCAAGCAGATGGGGCTGTTTGAGTCTGCGCGTGAAGAAAATGCTTGGCAGTATGGAAGTGGCAACTATAGGTGAGTCAGTTTAAATGATTCTTTGTTGATCAGCATGTCATGTCTCCTTGCAATTTCAAAAATAGTGCCAAGTGGACAGGTGATGAGAATAACAAAAATCATCAACAAGAGGACATTGTCTTGATAAACCCCAAAATATCATTTTGTACTTAGAACTTGGTTACTCTGACTCCATCCATGAACTGTACCATGTGACCATATAGGTGTGTTTCCACTAGCTTTGATAGGCGTGACTTAATAGTCCGTGATAACTGAGTAACTGTAGTTTACTTTTACCAATGGTGGAGGCGTGCTGTCCTCATGGTTAGTGCGCTTATCTCTGGATCAAGCGGTCTGGGTTTGAGCCCTGGCCAGGGTCATTGTGTTGTGTTCTTGGGCAAGAGACTTTACTCTCACAGTGCCTCTCTTCACCCAGGTGTATAAATGGGTACTGGCGAATTTAATGCTGAGGGTAACCCTGCAATGGACAAGCATCACATCCAGGGAGGGGGGGAGGGAGGGGAGTAGAAATACTCCTAGTTGCTTCATGCTACTGAAACCTTGATAAGTTCCGTCCTGATGGGCCACTTGGCTCGTATGCAGACTTTATCTTTTACCTTACTTACTTTTACCAATGGTCCCCAATGCTGGCTCTTTTTTTGTGAATCTTTAGGTGAGCAGAAATTAACCATCATAAACTAACGACCACTTGTTCAGTCATTGACATACCATGCCCAGCTTTTTTTTCTCACTCTCTCTTCAATCTCACTTTCCTTTCTCGCTTCATATCTTTGTTGAATTTCCTCACAAGAAGGAAAGAAATCCAAGTGACATGGTTTCAGTTCAAATCTTAAGATAAAAAAATGCGAATATGTCCTTCCAAATTGAGAACATTGGTTGCTACGAAAATTTCTTGTACTAAGGAAACTCAAGAAGCGTAGAAAAAAAGTACTTTGCTTGTTTTTGCTCGCTCTCTCAATTTGAGGGCACGGCGGTTTCCGCTTCTTTGATTTCATTCTTTGAACTTGCCGTAATTTGTCTTTTATCTTGTTTTTTTTTTTTTCAGGTTGGCCGAATCATACTCGCTGCTCGTAGAACATCTCTTAAACAAATGCGCTAAAGTTGATAAACGACTCTGCTGGCAAGTGAAGGAAATCGACTGGACAGGTTACATAATGATTGAATCATCCCATCATTTATACTAGAAGTTCGGCACTCGAATAAAGTTCAGCCGCACTTTACTAGTACACGCTTCGTACGGGCACTCCTCTGACTTGGGCGCCCCATTCGGGCACCTCATTGATGCGGGCACCCTGTAAATAAAATATACAACACCGGTTAATAAGGACATTTTCTGTTACTAACTGTGCCCTTGTTATGTTGTCGGACTGTATTGGGAGCTTAAGCAACGACGACGGCGACGCCGAGGACGATACCTAGTCAGAAATGAGTTTATATGTTGCCCGCGAAATTCGCAATTGTCCAGATCTGTTCAGTACGCCAATGGCTGGTGCAATGACAGCGTTCAGTTCCAAATGGAAGTACGAAAAATTAGCCGTCGTCGTCCGCGTTCCTCAGACAACGCAGAACTTAGTCATTTCACGTTGTCGTTTTTCAGAGGACGGCAAAGAAATGTACAAAGATTTATAACGCACGTGCACAGCTATTGTTCTACTCATTAAACCTTTGTTTGGTGGCGTTCCCGTTGCCGTCGTCTTCGTGGTTAGCTTATAAGCTGTCTAATCAAGGGGCTATGTCGTGTACCTTTCAGTATTGTTTCAATGTATGCAAGCTTGGTTGGGATGTCAACCGCTCATAAAATTGAATAAACAACTGACTAATGATTTCCCTTCCTCCTTCTCTCTAAAATTTCAATTTTGTATTAAGCCCTATTACCGTTAATATTCAATACAGGTGCCACTGGTCAGAATAGAGAACGGAAACAGGATAAATCAAACCCAGCTGGAAAGGTTTGCCTGAAAAATCAACGCGGAGAAACGTTCACCGCCAAATACGTCATCATCACTGTTCCGCTAACAGTCCTTAAAGATGGAGATATCTTCTTCACTCCAGCCTTGCCGTCGAGCAAGAAAAAAGCCATTGATTCCATTGAGATGCGAGGAGCACTGAAAATCGTATGTCGGTTTAAGTCACAATTCTGGCCGGACAATCTGAAACTTATTTATAGTGTACGGGGTTTTGTTAGCCAAATTTGGATGTACTCACGTGATTCAACGCACAGTCACGAGAAATGTCACCTGGTTGCTGGCTTCGAGACTGCTGAGCCCGCTGAAGAGAAAATTCATCTCAGTGGACAGGAAGTTTTGGATGGATTTCTCAAACATTTGGACGAAATATTTAGGTTAGTCTATCATTACACAGCATAAAAACCTAACTTTACTGCCAAGTAATGTCGTAAACTTCTCATTTAATCAGTTGTAAAGACTGCCTTTGCACTAGCTATACGCTAATTAAAGCCTTCCTGATGTGCCAACTTTACGTTGCGTAACTGTCGGCGTTAAAAACCTTAAACGACATTTAAGTTATACAACAACTTTAATAAGGAGATTGAAGCCAACTTTAATTTTTCGCAAATTTCTATTTTCATGCTGTGTTGCCTACGAAAATGTCTGCACTTTAAAATTAAATCGACTTTGCTTTGAAATTCCTTGTAACTCAGCTCTATGAAAACCCATGAAATGTTTTCCGTCCGGACTACGCAGAGAAATTTGAAAACGCAACAATCACCGGTCATTTTGGATTTGTGTTTGGAGAAAACTCGGTCAGGGAAATCACATGACTATCGTGAAGCAATCGTTTTCGAAAAGCTCGATCTTCAAAACGTTTTCCGTCGACACCAAAACGCAAACCTGGCGTTTTCAAATTACTCCGGTTTGAAGAGCGTTTTCGAAAAGCTCTGTCTTCTCCGTTTTCTCCGGCGTAGTATGGACGCATTTTTCCACTCGATACCTGTAGACCAAATCATGGTGGAAGCTAAAACAACAACTGGAAGCACGAATTTTTTTTCCTTTGATTCTAAGAACTTGTCCTTACAAGAATTCAGCACAGATAGAGAGACAAGCTGCTTATCTTTTTCTTCGGCAATTTGAAACTGAGCAAAGTTCGGTGATAATTTGGCATTTTGGCAAATGTTTAGAATGCTAGTTTCTGTTCCTGTGTAGAATTCTTTCAAAGACGAACTTTTAGATTCGAAGAAAAAAATTCCGTATTTTTTGGCCGTGAACTCAGTTTTAACCGAGATTAAAACTTTCTCCTTTCACAGAACCGATTCAAACCCGCATCCTGCCTCAGACTTATACATGGACTACGTCTACTACCATTGGTCAAAACATCCCTTTATTCGGGGAGGCTACAGTTCCCCTACTGCTCATGCGCACGGGCTGCGTGACGAGCTTGCCAGGCCTGTGGAGGATCGCTTGTTCTTTGCGGGTGAAGCTACGAGTGTCACGGCCTGTGCAACCGTTCACACTGCTATGGAAACCGGGTTTCGGGCCGCCCGCGAAGTTTGCAGTCTTGCCAAGCGCGTTCACAGGAAGTGATTAAAATAGGAGAACTTAAGCAAACCACGACAGCAACGGTAACGAGAACGCCACCAAACAAAAGGTTTGATGAACAGAACAATAGCTGTGCACGTGCGTTATAAATCTTTGTACATTTCTTTGCCGTCTTCTGTACAGCAATAACGTGAAATGACTGAATTCTGCGTTTTTTGGAGAACGCGAACGACGACAGCTAGTTTTTTTTCCTATATATATTTGGAATTGAACGCTGGCGTTACATATTAAGCTTGAACAAGTTCTGAGACCAATAGGCGCACTGAACAGATCTAGACAATTGCGAAATTCGAAGGTAAAAGACAAATTCATATTTTACTAGGCGTTGTCCCCGGGCTCGCCGCCGTCATTGCTTAAACTCTCTATTATTATCCACGGAACAACTGGGTACCGTGTTTAAAATAACTTGAGAGAATAAGGCCTATATGGGGGGTGAACTGTTCTAATCCTTCAAGGACATTTTTCCTCTCTACTGACTTTCTACTCAATGCGTGAGCTTGACCGCACGCTGATGACAGTAACATATAATTAAATCAACTTTTCTCTGATCTTCATTCCTGACCCTTGTCTTTTTTCGTTGTCCTCTCCTGATCTGAAAAAAATACCGAATGAGTTTTGTCAAAGTTTAAAGTTTCCATGGCTTTATGTAAATGTTTCCATTTTCTCTAGATATCTTCAGACAGACAGACAGACAGACAGACAGACAACCTTTATAAAGCTCAGTAGCTTATGGGTTTGCGCAAACATAACAAAATAAACGTTAAATTAAACCAGGGGGCTCCTGATTAAACTTCGTACAAAGTAGATACATGATAGATACAGTTCATCTAAAATTCCTCCAAAAGCTCCTCTGTGTGTTTTAAGGGTGATCTACACTACCAATCTATCCTTGACCATACGTTGAAAGCTCGAACCCTAGATTTTTTTTTATTTTTTTTTGAATGATTCAGTTAATATCTTTTTAGAATCGGTTATTCACATTCGCAGAGTTCGATCTCTTTTAAACACTCCCATTTGGGAGCAGGGATAGCGAAGTGGCGAGAACGCTCGCCCCCGACCAATGTAGCCTAGTTTCGCCTTACTTCAAGG